GGCAGAGTACACAGCAGTCCTTGCCTTTGCCATTGCAGTGTCGGCTAGTTGGTGGGCAGTCCGCACAGGTCTAGCCGTCCTGCATGTCCCACGCATGCCCACGTTCCTGTCAGTCGGACGCCGTGAACATTGGCTGGATATGGACCCGCGTGCAATGCGGGAGTGGGCAATGGCACCACTGGCGGTGACGCTGGGCCTCACAGAATCCTTGCGGGCTGAACGATCGGGGTTACCGGTCCGAAGGCTCGTCAAGGAAGTGATGATCGAGAACAACAAGCTACCACGCAAGACCATCTACGTCGGCCGAGGCAGCTTTCATCATCGCCTATCGACGACCAAGTGGAAATCGCCATGGACACCGGGCCACAACTGCGAAGCCGGTGAATGGCCGGCTAGGTACATTGTCCATATTCGAACATCACCTTTGTGGGACGCCTTGCATGAGCTTAGCAATATGGAGCTGGCGTGCGACTGCCCCATGGAGCACCTGTGCGAAGCGGACATGCTCATTGGCCTCTTTTTCGATGCCACCGCCCCTGGGGGTGACCCAATGCAGCGGGGCACCGATGGCCGATGGAGTAGGACTGTGGCATTGTTGCAAGGGATCCAGGCTATCCCCAGGGGGGTAGCCCTACCCATGATGAGCCAAGAAGCACTGGTATTGGCATTCCAAAAGCTTTTCCCCGAGCACTGGTTTAAAAACTACAAGTTTGCAATGATTGAAGACCTCATCAACAGCCCGCCCTTCTGCTCATATGCCACCTGGCTTGCAGAGCGAGGAGAAGCTTGGGACGGGCCCCTAGTCCCGCATCTGGCTGCCGGGTCAGTGAGGCAGCTTGCACGGATTGGGGACGGGTGCCAAGTGGGTGCGATGACACACCGTGCCGCTTTGCCCCCACTGCTGCCGTTCAACTTGGATCCTGAGGACCATTTCAACCAAGCAGTCCAACGAGCCCAGCACCCGTTGCCCTACGAAGACCTCCCAGTCGTCGACTTAGACCTGGAGTTCGTAGCAGATGCCTATGTGGCACATGGCCAGCAGTTGCGCCCGTGGCGACAGCAGGCAGTCGGGGCCATGCGAGAGCTGAAGAGACGCTGGGAGGGGGTGACCCTCCACTTGCGATCCTTCCAGGAGCCGGCCGTCCAGCAGGTAACACGGCACCGCGATGTGGGGCTCATCGCATTGCTGATGCTGATGACATCCTGGGCAGACACCAGCTTTCCCTATGGGCTGATCCGTGGGCTGCCTGCAGTGGGCTACGCACCACCTTATGGGATATTCCCCCAACAGCCAGCTGAGGTGATCAGCATGGCAGATGTGTTGGAGGGATGGCAGGAACACAATCAGCACATCTTGGGCCAGCTGAGAGCAGGCAAGGATGATGAGTTCCTCCTGCAGCAGTCATTGGAGGACGCAGCGAATGGTTTCTGCACCGAGCCCTTGCGACGGACAGATTTCCTGCGGGCCATTGGCGACAAGGCCCATCGATTGATCCCGCGTTGCGTGATCACACAGAGCTCAGGCAAGCAGCGTGTGATCGACAATGGGGACACCGGAGGACAATCAGCCTTGTCGTCTGATGCTAACAAGCTCACATTGTGCAGTCCATTGCGTCCCGCCCAGCACATTCGCCTTGCAATGCATCGTTGGACAGAGGATGAGATGGCCGATTTCTTCGAGAACGATGCCTGGGTAACAGGACAAGAAGATCTGCCTTCAGCATACAGGTATTGCCCTATGGCATTGCAGGAAAGTCTGGGCTGCGTGGTGGTGTGGTACCATCACGAATGGCAAACCCCTGCATACCAAGTCTACGCTGGGCTACTCTTCGGACTGCCGCTGGCGGTTACATCATTCAACCGTTTTTCCAGACTATTGGAGGCACTAGCCAGGCGTTTTTGCCGAGTTTTGACATCCCTGTACTTTGATGATGCGACCATCACAGACTTGCAATCCTCAAAAGGGTCAGGCCAATGGGCCATGAATCAATTGTGTTCTCTTATCGGCTCCCCCTTCGCAGAGGACAAGAAACAACCAATGCAGAGCACCGGAACCTTTTTGGGATTGACTCATGATCTCAGCTCCATCAACCAAACAGGGCACGTACAGTTTTGGGCTCGAGAACGGCTCCATGACAAAGTACGTGACATGTTGGCAACAGCCAGGGTGACTGGCCATTTTAGCCGAGGGGCAGCATCGAAGCTGTACGGCTTGGCCAATTTCCTGGAACAGGGCATCTACGGTCGAGTGGGATATGGCGGCCTCATGGCCATCAAAGCCAGGCAAGACGAGACAACCTCGACCATCACTCCCGAGATTGAAGCATGCTTCGAGGTGATCGAAGCGGTTATGCGCTTTCAGCCAAAGCGGGAATTTCCCGTTCTGCACCTGGATCATCTGCGATTTTTGGCAGCCTCCGACGCAGCTGTCGAAGCAGACAATCCTGGTTCAGGAGGTTTTCACCTGATCTTTTTCCAGCCTGACGGATCACAAATTCGTCACAGTTTTGTCGCGACCAACTGTGCAGAGCTCCGAACACTTTGGCAACCTGCAGAGACGCATATCGCCCAACTGGAACTATCTATGGTGCTCTACGCCCTTGTCGAAAGGCCTGATCTGTTTCGAAACCGACACGGCCTATGGTTTTTGGACAACGTAGCAGCCGTCATGACGCTAGTGAGAGGACGTTCTAGCAATGCCGACTTAGCGAAGCTAGGTCATTTGATCCATCTAGCTCTGTTTGCACTGCGAGCCCAAGGATATTGGGAGTACGTCCAGAGCAAGAGCAACTGGGCTGACGATATCAGCCGACTTGGCGTCAATGATCCATGGTGGCGATGCCATGGTTTTGAATTTTATCCGTCGTACCTCCCTACAATCTTGTTCCAGCTACCCTTTGCAGCTGTCATTCTCACCTTCGAATACCTTTAGTGTTTTGGGAATTGAGTGCATTGGGTGATTCCTGCAGAGCAGGTTCCAGCCTGGGTTGCCAGGCAGCTGACCAGTGGCGAAACTGGTCTGGGGCTATGTACGTGTCACATCGTGACAACCCAAAGCAAACCTGAGGATTGCAGGTGAAATTGACTGAGCATAGGCATAGCTGTGGAAAAAGAAAGCTGCGGGAGCGCAAGACAGTATCTGTTTCATATGACACTTTGAGATGTACCCATGCATTGAGTTTGGCAGGCTTGGGTGTGCATGTATCATCTTTAAGTGTTTCAATGAATGCTATCATTTTGGCTCAAGTAAACTTGAACCAAAATAGCATTCATTGCTGTTTTCTTTCCCCACCCTCCCAACCCTAAGAGCCGACCTCCCGTGGAGATGTCCGCCTAGGTTAGGGGAGCCTGCACGTCAGGCGAGTACATAGCCTCTATCGGGGATCCTCTCTTGGGGCGACCAAGAGAGACTTTCCCTCCCTTAGGTTTAAGGGATGGGTGATTCCTGCAGAGCAGGTTCCAGCCTGGGTTGCCAGGCAGCTGACCAGTGGCGAAACTGGTCTGGGGCTATGTACGTGTCACATCGTGACAACCCAAAGCAAACCTGAGGATTGCAGGTGAAATTGACTGAGCATAGGCATAGCTGTGGAAAAAGAAAGCTGCGGGAGCGCGAGACAGTATCTGTTTCATATGACACTTTGAGATGTTAAAATATATATTATATTATATAATTATACGTATTATTATATTATTATCTTGTGATATTATTGTATTATATTATCATATTATTATATTATCATATTATTATATCATTATATCATTATATCATTATATCATTATATCATTTTATTATTATATCATTATATTATTATATCATTATATCATATTATCATTATATCATTATATCATTATATCATTATATCATTGTATTACTATATTATTATATTGTTATATTATTTTCTCATTATAGTACTATATTATTCTATTATTATATTATTTTCTTATTCTATTACTATATTTTTAACTATATTTTTACTATATTATTACTATATTATTACTATATTATTACTATATTATTACTATATTATTACTATATTATTCCTATATTATTACTATATTATTACTATATTACTACTATATTATTACTATATTATTACTATATTATTACTATATTATTACTATTTTACTACTATATTATTACTATATTGTTACTATATTATTACTATATTATTACTATATTATTACTAGATTATTACTATATTGTTACTATATTATTACTATATTATTACTATATTATCATATTATTTTAATACTATATTATTGTTATGTTATTGTTATATTATATCATTATATAATTATATCATTATATCATAGATATTATAGTATGAAATTATATTATTATATTATTATATTATTGTATGAGATTATAGTACAAAATAAAACTATGTTACAATATTATATTATAATGTGTTATATATATATATATTAAAACATATTCAAATATATATTGTAATCATAATTATGATTCCAACTATATTATATTCTATTATATTATATTACATTATATTACATTATGTTATATTATGTTATATTATATTATATTATATTATACTATCTTATATTTAACTATACTATATTGATCTAATTACATTACATGCAATACAACAGTGTATGTTCTGCCTCCGAAGGTCTTCGGAAAGGACATATTCTTTTTCGCGGTTTCGTTTATTTTTTCCTCCGACCTGGCATGATCATTTTCACTGATCTGAGGCAGCAAGCTTGCTTGGGTTCAGACCTGGGCGGTGTCCTCAGGTTCTAGGGCTTTCAGAACACATCCACACAGTAAAGTCTGGACTTGTTCTCACTCCGTGTCTTCCGTGGATACATGTGCACTTTACATTGAATTGATGTGTATATACTTGCAGTACGTCCAATATAATATTATACTCTATACATCTACATGTATCCACATATGTGTGTTTAGATATTTTGACTTTCGATGCCGGTGGCGTGCTGCTGCCGATGCCACGTAAGTCTCTTCTGCAGCTTTTTTACTTTCAGTAGATCGATCGACAGTGTCTCCCAAGTGCCTCCCCTTCTAATGGTTGAGGAACAACAGGAACTTGTCAGTCTTCAGAAGTGCCTTGAGGGCATCGAGAGCGACAGTGACGAACAGAGTGCCAGTGACCAGGTCGGCCCGGTCAGACATTGGAAGCTCGGCAGTTCAGCGGTGAACGAATAGAGTATCTTTGTAGCAATTGCAGGTCACATGGTCAATGCCTGTCATATGCTCAGCTGTTTTGTTTTTTTGCCTTTTAGGAAATGGATGAAGTGGATTGCCGTGACCTCGATGGCCTTTGGATCTATCTATGGATTTAGCAAATGCTTCCATCAACGACTAGTGAAGGGCACAGCAATCGATGACGTCACTGGACTTTACGAGATGCCACCAGGCCGGTTGACCAACTCGTGTTCTTTTGGGATTTGTATTCTGGACTGGTTTCAGAGAGGTTCGTTTGACGTTGCCGCCAACAGGTGCTGGTGTGAATCTTGGAGGTTGGCTAGTTCTTGAAGATTGGTTCTTCTCGGGCAGTTCTGGCAGCTACTTGCCTGATTTTATTGCGGGCAAATTTGATCAAACTAGGGCACGGCTTGTCCAGAGTATCCTGATGCAATTCCGAGACATTGCAGTTGGAAAGACATTTCCGAGGAAAGGCCGAGGGACACACAGTGAGTCTTTATCTTGTTCATCTGCAACCCAAGGAAGCCTTTCGTGGAATCATCAAGCCCCATTTTGTGAAGATATCCCTTGAGGCATTCAAATCATGCCAATGTAATCAATGTTTTTGATATCGGCACTTGGCTCTGAGGCTTTGTGATGTCGCAAGGCGTGGGCCAAGGCCAATGTCTTCCTCCGCTGTTGCCACATTCTGATGAACCGTGGCCTTCTGAGGGAGTCCTGGCATACCGCTTGAACGCCACCAAGGGAAAGGAGCGATGTGACATGTCTGATGTGTTGTACAAGACGTATAAGGGACAGGAATACAAGGCCAGCTGAATTCAATCGAGCATTTATCTATAAAGAGTCTGACACACATTTGCCCTTAATTTTTCTTTTGCAGCTACACTGAAAGAATCCTGTATCCTACTTGTTTCTCTTATTCGACTGCTCTTGAATACGTGAGATTGTGTAGATTGGCTTCTCCTTTGTGGCTGTGTTCCAAACTTCCTCTTCTCATCCCTTCTGGAACCGATGCATGCTTTATATCCCAAGTGGGCAACATGGCCCTTCTTGGAGAAGCCTAGTGAGCTCCCAGCTCCATTCCCTGAAGGACCAAACTCTGAAGATCTTTGAGGCGCACCGGAGAGAATTCTTAGCGGATGACGACCTGCAGAAGATCGCAGAGAAACTGGGCAAGAATTCTGGGGAGGTCACATGTCTTTCAACAACTCCAAGGATGAGAATATGAATATCATGAATATCTGAATAATAATAATAATAACTCTGAATATCAGAATATCCATATCTTAACAATTCTTAGACAATTCTTCACATTTTTTCTGACACAGCTGTGAAGCCGAACAAAGGAGCGGAATCTCCGTGATTCGATTGCCGCTTACCTGGGCAGCTTTTGCCGATGCTTTGGCGCCATTGAGCCCTGTCTATGCGTCCTTCGATCCTGATGAGGAGACGGCATTGGTACCTGATCCTTTCTATGTGGACAAGATAGCGCTGGCCACCATTCCTAGAAAGATCTTGGTGGATTTTTTGCACAAAGCCTCAAAGCATGGGCTGACGGTGATTTTCGATTTGCACGCCTTTCCAGGCGGTGCCCAGGACGGAACGTACAACACGGTGTGGCCAAATCGGCCGGTCTTCTGGAGCGAGAAGACTCAAATCTCCAAGGATCCTGCAGATCCTGTTCCGCTATCAACAGTAGGCCGCTGGGTGGTGCAGGCGTTGATCAAATGGGTGGAAGCCTTGGATCCAGAAACACAAAAAGCGGTCCATGGCTTAACCCTGATGAATGAGCCCGCACACACCAATGCTTGGAGCCATTTCGCTGAGGAGCAGAATGTTCTCACTTGGCTTTCAGAAACTTCAGGAGACTTTAGGACTTCAAGCCTGCCTGCTGCAAATGTGAAGCTCTACGTGAATCTCATTGAAACGGCTTTTTCTGCGTTGCTCGCACAAAGTATTTGCCGCGATGAAGCATGGAAATGCATGGACACGCATGGATATGCATGAAAATGCATGGAATGGTATCCTGGGCAGACATGATTACAGTATATATTTAAATACTGCAATTTCTATCTGCATTTAGATTTCTATTCATTTTTATACTTACATACATTCATGCATGCATACATGCATACATGTATACTGTACGTAGTCCCGGATTGAGCATGCCGTGTTCGGTAACATGTTCAGCCAATTCACATTTTGCTTTGGATCTGCCAGACTGAAACGAATCAAAGCATTCGACTTTGCCAAGGTTTGAGCACTCTGCAGTGCCTTGGTTTCTTCAGACCTTCACGAAGGAAGAACAGAAAACATGGGCTGTTGCAGATGTGCATTGGTATGTGGCATGGAGCAGCGGCGATTGCGATGGCCGCTCTGTCACTTGCCTTATCCGGTGGAATGATCGTTTGAACAGGTGTGAGGCCTTTTTTCGGAGCTTGCTCTTTGAGAGTTGATCATGATGTTCTCACAACAAAAGCAATATGGGTATGGATCAATACCTATTAATACCATTTTTAGTGGGATGAACATCCATTTACCAGCAATTTTGATGTTCACCAGGGGTACAAGGTTTTGACACACTGCCATATCAGAAAGCTGCAGAAAAAAGACACATTGGTCAGGTGGAGGGTGGAGGTTTCCACTGCGCTGCGCCAATGCCGCAGGTCAAGGCCTGACAAAGTGATAGCTGGGAAGTTGAGAAAGAAGCAGAAGTCAAAGTGATTAATCAAGAGACCTTGTCAGAGAGCCTATGTTGAACATATCTCAGCGATTTTCCTATCAACAAAGACACGGTATATACAGACAGATAAAGACACAGTTCAAACATGTTCAAAAGCTCTGCTATGCTCAAGCACCACAGCAGACTTGACGGATCTGCAGGAGAAGTTGCACCTCTGTGCGAGCAGCGCTTCTCAGCGTCTTCGGCACCTCTTCGGCGATGCGCAGGTCTCGGTGACGGAGTTCTCAGCGGGGACTTTTCACAAAGCCAGGCACAGGGCCACAGGGCAAAGGGCACAGCAGACGACCACTGTTGGACCAATGTTGGACGAATGGACCAGTTCGACATGTGGAAACTGGATAAAAGGTGAAAGGTAGACATCATTCAGGGCAGAGGGAGGACTAGTGACTAGCGGAGATCCTCAATGCCATCTGAGATCTGCTTTAGATCTCAGCTTAATTCTCGCTTTTGCATGAAATCGAGTGAAGTAACGTGGGGGTGTGCAGGTATGCATGCCATGACTCGCAGCTCCTACGAGCCTTCATTGAGGAGCAAGTGACATCGTTTCGGTCTGAGACTTGAGCTAAATATCTGACGCAAGCCAAACGGCAGGGCTCCGGGAAACTGACAAATCATACGGGTAGTCTTGAAGCATCTTGAAACAATCTTTGGCCAACTTGAGAGATTGGAAAAGGTGCCCTGTTGCAACAGATCCACATTTAGGTATTGGTGCGGCCACAGAGGCAAACAGCTATCCTAATTCTAACAAGAATTACCAGTCTCTGGATGTCTCTCGTTGTTCTATAATTGTTATTTCTCTTTGTTTCTTTGTTGTTCCCTTGTCTTCAACCGAGGACCGCATCCAACCATTTTTTTGGACGTGGAAGATGCCATTTGGTCCGAACTTTGAGGCCGGTTGGAGTCTCAAGTATCTGCTCGGCTTGGAAGATTCAAAACTTGGCCAGCAATGTGATCCAAAATCGAGCAATGAGAACGTGCATTTTTGATGTGGGATGCTTGGCCCATCAATGATGTGTGGGCTTTCAATGCCACATATCCTGAGTTAGCGGCCTTTTTCTTGTGCACTCTTGGGACACCCCAGCACGAAAATTTGTGCAACAAGTCGCAAGTAGGTTTGTGGCGCGGGTTTTTCTCCCGGCTGTGCGCACTTTCTGAACCATGCAGATGTATAGCCTGCAAAGTCTGTTCCAGATCTGACAGCCACTGTACAGCTGACCTCAAAGAGGTCAAGCCGAAGGCAAATCTGGACATGACTCCGATGGCGAACACATTCCGTGATCCCATCGAGGAATCACGCTATGCCTTCACCACTTTTTATATCCTGTGATATCCCGTGCTTTTTGTAAATACCTCAGAGGTATAGCATGGAAGCTCTGCAGCTGCTGGCTCTTTTGATAGCCCCTTTGAAAGGCCTCCAAGTCTTTGGGACTTGGATGGCCGGAAGTGCTGCAGAGAATTGTAATTTCTTTTTGCTGAATGATTTTCATGACCTGGCAGTTGCCGAACGATCATGGACCAAAATCTGCGCATTGTTGTTCAGGTAGCAAGAGGTACTATGGTTTAGTAGGAGGCTGATACATGCTGATACACTAAATGTATCAAGAGGTTTCAACCAAACATCGCAGTATACTGCATACTGCATAGTATTTTGAGATATTTTGAGTACTGTAAATGGATAAATGGATATAAATGGCATGATGGCATGACATTCACAGTTCTGGTTTTCTTCGCCCTGGTAAGGTTCATGCTCTCCCGCTCGGAGCGCAATGTGAAATACGGAGAAAAAAGGAGTGCTGTGCTGTCTGTCAGCGCTGACCAGAGATCCAGTAGTGCATTTGATGGCTTTCCGACTGTGAAAAATCCACCGCATCCGAAGCATCCAAGCGTCGAAGCATCGAAGCAGGCCGCTTCGAGGTATTGAGCTGGGATGCGGCACTGGAGTTGCAGGTGAACTCGCCAAGTTTCAGCTGCGAAAGTAGCTTCGGAAGTTGGACAGGTTTGGAGGAAACTTTGTCAACCTACAGCACACCGCAAAACACTTGATTCGTATAGGATCCAATGAAATTTTGATCGGTTTCCCTGCCAGGCTTCGGCTTGGCCTTCTTGGGTCATCAAGTTTGGGGGCCTTGGTTGTCAGCTGCAGCGACAAGGAATGAGAACGGTAGTTTTGAGAAGATTTCTGTTCACTGTTTGTGGATATCTGGATAGCGAGTTGTGGTGTTTGAACATTGGACAGAATTACTGACACAAGGATGACTCTGGTTCTTGCGGGATTGTCACTTTAAGCGCCAATTGTGGCAAAACAAGACATCGGCAAATCAATACAAATCACAAAAAGCAAATGGCATCTCTACTTGCGTTCTTTCCCTGACAAAGCCCAGAGTATTTTTTTGATGCACCGTCGAGCAACACTGGCTCATTAGGTCCTTCTCACTGACATAGGGGCAGAGCAAGCTGCAGCGACACAGGTCTGGGAACGGAAGGTTTGTCCAGTGCGGGAGAGCCTCAGAACGACTTTCACACTCGCTCAACGGAAAGTGGCACTTGAAGCCAATTTGAGGGTTGCAAGTCATCTCATCCTTCTGATGTGTCCTCAGCGCTCAATTAAGTTTGCTTCGCTGGTATTGTTCTAAGTGACAGTGCTCACGATTGTATTAGTCCGGAGTGAAGCACCAGCGACGCACCAGGGAAATATTGCGCAGAACATGCAGACATTGGCTGCAACTGGGGGAAGTGCACAATACGGGCACTTGGACTGGAGACAGTTAGATACCCAGCTGACAGGAAGCAACTTGGTGACTTGGTGAAAGCAGACATAATGTGCAAACCATGGCAGAATTACATGGATGGTTCAACAATTTCAACCTGTGAACTTGCTCTTGTCAACAATATGAACAGGATCTGTGGGATTTCACTATGTATGGAGCCCCCCTCGTAGTTCTATGCAGCATCAGACTTTGCCGGGTTCCAAACTCAGGCTTCCAGAACGCAGTCAATACGGACGTTTTGATTTGGTCTTAGCCAGCGATGTGATTTGGTCACTTCCTCAGTCCCGCTCATTTCTATTGAATCGGCTGAATCGGGCTTTCCTTCCAAAGTCTTCTAACGTGCGCGGTGTAGCAAGGGGTTTTTGCACACCGCTCCTCCGTGAGGCATGAGTCTCTTGTGGAGCCATTTTTGCAGGCTGGACGCTTTTTCATCCTCCCCCTGCCTTTGTGTCCATGCATTTACTATGTCTTTAAGGCCATGCTGGCTGTTCGTCATCTGCCATTTTCTCTTTCTCCTAATTCGGCCTTTTCGGATGCTTTTCAACCTTCAAGCCAGCAGCACATGGATTCCACTAGCATGTCTTAAGAGATCCTAGGTGTGCACTGGGTTCATCAGACAACGACTAAAGCATTTGCACCTTCATCTTTTGTCTTCCCATGTCAGAAGTGACTGGTCCCAAGGCAGTGTCCTGGGCTACTAGCGGTCCTGGTGCTGAAGAAGTTATTCTCTCACACAAGGAGCTGAGTCTATCTGGGGTTGTGAGATGACGTGCAGAGCATCTTGGAGTCTTTTCTTGGAAGTGTCAAATTGTACATCTTTGAGCCTGTTTTGCACGCCCTTTTTACCACTTGGAAATTGACGGTGGAAAACACGATGAGCTCCACACCTTGATTTGCAACTTTCGGCCATCTATAAATGGTACCCGAATCCCTCAGGTTGTATAGCCCATCTGTTCTCAAAGTTGTTGTTTTTGAGGCAAGAGATCAAGAGTCCATTGAGCTTTTCCACAAGGCTTGTTTGGTCCATTGGAGACGGAGTGATTTGAGTCATTTGACCTCTGAAAGTCAATGTGCTGGGAAGCTTCGCCTGAGATGCTGGGACCTTTGGGCTTGGCATTGACATCCCAGGCTGAGACAGGGACTTTCAAAGAAGGGGGGAATTTTGTACGTCGTACATTTGTTTCAACTCTCAATGAATTTCATGGAACATTTCCTTCATCATGATCTCATAGTTGTATGAACAAGGAACCCTTCCCAGACATTTGAGGTGCTGCAGGGTGGTGGAATGTTGTTGATTCGCGAGGTTGGACATTGAGTCCATTTTTCCACCGACATCATTGCGAACAGAGCAGATCATCAATTCAGGTCTCAAGGTTGTTGAGGGTGCTCGGACTAGCAAGTTACTTGATGGTACAGACTGTACAAAACATATGGGTATGGGTCAAAATTAGGTACCCCAATAATTGGATGGTTAATACTACACTAGACTAACATCTGTGGTCCCCTAGGTCTTCTATTTTGATCCATATCCATATGCCCAGTGTTCAGCCGTGTTGCAAAGTTTCCTTAGAACAGGTACCAAGTGAACAAGTCCTGGGTGAACATGGCCATCCTGATGTGCAGTTGTGACCAGCCGCAGTGTGTTGATCTATGGACCATAAAGTTGCTAGCTACAGCTCCAACATCTCAAGATGTCTCAAGATGTCTCAAGATGTCTCAAGATGTCTCAAGGTGTCTCAAGAGCACATTCAAAGCTTCAGCCAAGTCCGCATTTTTTAAAGATCTCTGTTGCTTGTTGTGCATTTGGCTCGTTTGCCACACCATTCAAGTCTACGAGTACAGAATCAGAAGAATTTACATGATGCACCGTACCTTCATCCTCATGATCAAAACTTGCAAAATCACTCTAGTTTGCAAACTTTGGTGACTCCCAGGTACCACTTGCAGCGTGTTGTTCAAGCGGTCAGATGATTCCAGCTCAAGGTGCAAAAAGAATGCGATGTCTGATGGGAGTGTAGCAATCCAAAAACAACCCAGTTCAGTGGATCCAGCTAAAGGACTTAGAAGCCCAAACTGAGACCTTTCAAATCTTTTCAACATGTGTTTCTGGATCAATATCCTTCAAGGGTGGCTGAAGTCTGAATGTTTCAAACTTTTTGCGATTTGAAGATCCAAGTTCGGCCAGTTTACTACAGATCTAGAAGCGACTTCAGCCGACTTCAGCACTTGACTTAAATAAATGGGAGCAACAGGTGTGTCTGATATGAAGCTGCCCTTCTTTATTCATCTAGCTCGGGCAACTTTTCCTGAGCTCTATAGTGTTTATGATTGTACGCTCAGGGTTACTGCAAGACACTAGATGACAGTGGACAAGTCTGCCCAATAGCCTACCAGATGCTAAATTGCAGAACTCTGGCTTTGTTTGGATATCATGAGGTAATTCCTCAGCCGCATTCGCCAGTAGGCGACATGATTTTATCAGTAAACGAAGTAAACGTTGCAAGGCAGATGGCCTTTGGTGGAAACATTGCAATGTACTGGGTTCTTCTCTGCCATCAGGATGAACCGTTTGTGCGCCTGTACACATCCTCCTGGCATCTGATATATAGCCGCAGTGACACACGTGCAGCCTGTTTTCGCGGCTGTTTGGCTTTGCACTTTCCCGACTATCCCGCAGTTGCTTCCGACTAGGTGCTCAGAGCCACTATTTGCAATGGGTTTGGCCTTTGAAGAGGTTGTGTCTGACGTGCTGGTTGGACAAAAGCCAGCAGCTTGGTCGTGCACAGAGATTTGAAGGTCACCCCTGTGCTACATTGATGCATTGCATCTACCTGAGTCCATTTTTTATGTCGGACTCACCTCCGCTAAGACGTAGACAAATTCTCCCAGAAGCTGTTGGACTGTAGAGTTCAAGCCGTTGCCAAACTTCTGCCAGCTGAGCATTGCTTAGCAAGTGGGACTTGCACAGGATGGGTTGCCTCTTTTCCATGGCTGGGATGGACAGCCACTTCGTGTGCCAGCAGAAGAGTATAAGCAGAGGGTGACGCAAACAAGGAAGTCAATGCAGCAGGCAAGCAGATTCCAAACAGGGAAGAGGGTAATTTCAAAAGCTTAGGCTTAGTTCAGGATAGTTCAGGATAGTTCAAGATAGCTCAGGATAGTTCAGGACATTCCAAGTATTGGCAACATTATATATTGGTTCTTACAGCGGCTCATGAGGAGGGTTTCGTCATGAGCACCTGGCTTGATGGATGTCCAGTAAACGCTGGTGAATTATCAGTTACATATATAATGTATATATATATATATATGTATGTATTGTATTGTAATGTGATGTGATGTGATGTAATCTATCTAATGTAATGTAACGTCGTGTCATGTAATGCTATGTAATGTTACCAAGTGTAATGTAATGTTATGTTATATTATGTTATATTACAGTATGTTATGTTATGTTATGTTATGTTATATTATGTTATGTTATGTTACGGTATGGTACGGTACGGTATGGTACGTAATGTACGTATGTGTATATATTGTCTACTCGTACACACACACATATATATATGATTATATACATACAATGTCTCTTGCAGTAGCAGAGAGCATGGGTGATGTCTCCCTGTCATTACCATTTAGTTCGACTTGGAAGGGAGATCATTGACATTGTACAGGATGGCATCGATTTCCTGATTGTGGTGCAGCCGGAGGACTCTTTTCTTGAGGGTGCTGTCACTGTTTCCCCGTGATTTCCTCATGTACCTATCATGTGTATCTTGCAGTCATAGAGTAAATCCCAAACTGCAACTGGTGCACGGTGTATGATGCGGAAGGCCCATCCGTGTTGAAGTTTGCTGTCTAAGCAGGCATTTGTTATCATTGGTTGAGATCGCTTCCAGCTGAACTTCAGGATCTTTACTATCTCACTGGCTTTTACACCATTGGTGATAGTGCTCCGCAAGCTTTGGTGCTGCCTCATGACGGAGAGCCGTTTTTGGTGGCCCGTTTGATTGAATGCGACCTCGTGCCAAAGCTCTCCTGGGTGTCCAAGGTGGGTTGGCGATTGTTTCAGCTCTGAATCTACGATGTCTCACAGCATTTTTGTCCAGCTCCCTGAGGTCAGGCTGAGGTCATCTTTTTTTTGTTCTCCATGATCTCCATGTTATCCTCCCAAGAGGTCTGTTATCCCAAGATGCAGGTCTGGACATGCACAGACAAAGCCAGCGTTTCCGAAGTCTTCATGTATGCCATCACAGCTGCAAACGTACAAGTGCCTTGTCCTTCATCTCAACAATGGTGTCCTTGTTCTTCTCTGTGCTTTCTCAGGATGACCCTTGATGAACTGTATCTTTGCAAAGCTGGTATCACTTAAATACTCTTTACATACTCTTCAGCTTCTGGCTTCAAAGTTGGCACTGGACAGATCTTTGTCAGTTCCTAAGGATGGTCGAGTCGGCATACAACTTCAGAGCATTTCAGCAGCCCATTTCTTCCATCTGCAGAAATTCCTTCGGAAGTTTGAGACTGAAATTGTGGATGGCAGCAAGACGGAGCCTTGGTCTAAATTCGTGGTACAGTGTTATACAACACAACAGCTAAACCATGCCAGTCAGAGGCTGGAGTGGGATGATAAAGTAACACAGACTATACTTGCACCTCATTGGGAGTCTTCAGATCGTTGTGAGTTTGATTGGTTTGAGTCCAAGACACTGCATTCGAAGAAAGGATGCAGACTAGATTTGAACTTGCAAAACTCCACTGGCCAGTAGTTGCAGGTGCAAGTTGGGGAAGCCTGGTTGATCTATACAGGGTTGTTTGCCTTCACTTCTCAAGAAGAGAAAAGTCTTGCCGGAATTTCGAAGTTTCTGCGAAGAGTTATCCAGCAGCTTGGGGTCTTTGTTGTCCTGTCAAACTCCGACCTGTGCTCCCTTTCCACGGCCCACTGGCAGCTTCTCAAGCGAATTCTGATTCGATGACATGTTGCCCCCCCTGAAATCCTGCCCACAGCGCAAAGGTGGAACGAGTCCGCCTTGTGAAGTCTGACTTTGAGAAGGAATCCAAAGGGGCGCAAGCACCAAGGGAGAACAGAGTATTGACCCTCTCTCTCTCTCACTCTCTCTCTCTGTCTACTTTTTAATTTTTTGTTTTTCTTTCCTAGTTCCTCTGACTGGGCTAGAGCAGCTCCTGATCTGGAACTTGTTCGGTTCTTGTAGTTATTGGAAGCTTGCGTTAACACGAAGCGTTCCAGACGGATTTGCAGCCCTTGCACACCGCATCCACAAGTTGGTTATATTGGTTTGGCAAAGAATTTGGCAACAGTTTGACATATTCATCCATATTCATCTGTATTCATCCATATTCATCTTTTCTTTGGTTGGGGGTAAACTAGTAAAGACCAAGCTGCAGTCTCTGTGCAGGATCGAATCAAAGATGCTTCGGTCATCTCCGAGGCTGCATTACAGTCCGCTTTGGACCTCATCAAGCCAGGTGTGGCTCTGAGACTTCTGACACTTCTGACACTTCTGACCTCTGAGACTTTTGATGAAACGGTCAACATGTCAACATGCCTTGCTCCGAAAGATTGGTTCGACTCAATTCCAGTCATTGCAAGCAATTTGCAGTCTCATTCCTGCAGGTGTTCTTCTCAGCAAACTTCAGGAAAAGCTACGATGCTCTGATCTCCTCGGGAAGTGAGGTGCATCTTGTGTTACAGCGCTGGGTGGAAGCCAGTCAAATCATGTGAAAGTCAAGGCAACTTCCGCCCACCGATGATCGACTGGCCCTTGACTGACCATGGTCCATTCTCGGCTGATTTTTTACATCAACGACGATGGTGTGTCCTTGGTCCAATGCAGGTGCCTGGCTATTTGCCCATTGTGCGCACCACAGACCCAAGCGGACACGGCTCGTGGATGGCTGGAGAGGACTAGAGATGGAGAGCGATGGGGAGCAGTTCGGGACCAGATCCGAGTTTCCACAAGTTCTGAAGAATATTAAGGATCTTCAAATATAGCCTTAAATATAGCAATGAATTTTGGGGCATCCAATCAATTCTAGCAATGAGGCTTCTAGGACTCAAGCAATGTGTCAATGATGCAAAGTCCAGGAGTGTGCCCCTGGCAACCTCGTCTTTCTCGAGCTGTCTGGGTGCAAGTTTGGCCATCATGCGCCTTTGATGCGCACGGCCTACATTTTGAAGCCTGAGGTGCGTCCTACAGCGTCCTACAGCCAGGGTTCTGAAGAAAGAACAGAGATTCATTTGGAACTCAAATATGGAACCCTTTCAAAACACAACGGCTAAAGACCAGTTGCTTTGCCCTGTCTAAATTCTACAGGAGACGGAAACACCAGCGTGGCTGCTGGAAGCAGAACGCCTTATCCAGAAGACCTTTGAGGTTTGAGGCTCAACAAAGGAACCGAGCCTCTTTGATATCTCGCAACGGAAAGGATCGGGTGCCAAGAGAATTTTTGCCGTGTGATCATGGCGCTTGTTTTGACAGAAATATGTTGAGGTTTGTTTGCCCATGATGGTTCCGGGGGCCAAAGCCAACGACATCGATGCGGCTGGACGTGAAATCATGATGAAGAACTCCTTTGGTTTGAGTATGGCTGCGCTCCTCGGCAGACATGGAGAAGGGTGGCCTTTATGCGCAAGACAACACAAACGCACGTCATTAATCATCAACATATCTATTTAATTCTATCTATTTATCTATCTATCTATCTGTCTGTCTAGCTAGCTATCTATCTACCTACCTATCTGTCTGTCTGTCTATCTTTCTTGTTTTGCTCCTAAACCGAAAGCTGCAAAGTGTGGTCGGTGTATTGAATGAATAGTGACGACCTGTTGTTACATGACATGAGCTTTGGGAATCTTTGTGGATCTTCTTGGGATCTTCTTGGGATCTTCTTGGGATCATTGGTGGCAGCTGGACCATTCTGAACCTGTCAGGCGCCTGGCCTATTCCACAGGTTCGACGTCTACACAGCCTGCAGGTCATGCTGGATGGGGAGATGCAGATTTCTCCTTGGTGGGCCACAACCATGGAGAGCTGAAGGCACAAGTGCTGAGGGCGGGATGGGAATCGTCCAAGCGTCTTCTATTGATTCGCGTAATTACACATTGTAATACAGCATATTACACCTATAGCCTATAATTCTACATTGTCATGGTTTCTGTGTTTTTTCATAGACTTCTTGAGTCGCTTCGGAGTTGGTGCTTCATTTTTTTTCCATTCCCAGCGGTTCCCAGCGGTCCCACCGGTCCCACCGGCAGGCAGGGATGGTCTTCCATTTCATCCCTTGGTTTCAGAAGTACAACGAGCCTTCTGGGCCAATTGGTCTGTCTGATACTGTCATTGTGACCACTGAGGGTGGCCGACGCTTTGGAGAGCTGCCACTGACCGTGAAGAGTGTTGAATCAGTTGAAATCAGTTGAAAGGCTGATGTAGTTTTCAAAGCCAAAGGATGCTTTGGAGACTGCACAGCCATTGTCAAGGTATAACTGTATAACTATGTACAACTAGGGAATGTCCGCACAAGACAGCCAAATCACGCTGTTGACAAATGCTGACAACATATTTTAGTTCAACCTTCATTTGCCTTCAGGCAAGTCAAGACTGAGGATTGGCACAAGGACTTGCTCTCCACAGATCAAACCATTTTGCTCTGGATTCCAATCAGTGAGAGCAAGTCCTTGTAGCCACTGATTTGCGTTGCTTTTTTGGCAGTGATTGCCTTTCTCTTCCCGTAAGCAACCGATTGTTTAGGACTTTAGGATAGTTTAGATGCATAGCCACTCCGCAGCTTTGGCATTTGAGTGGACAAAGCTGGAGCTCAGGCATCTCAAGCTACCGAGATTAGATTGGACGAAAAGAAAACACTGCGATGAACAAGTTGACAAACACGTTGACAAATAAGTTGACAGGCGTTCTTTGGATATGTCCCGATCAACAAGCTTGGCAGAACCGCTTCGAAAAGATCATTCTGCCCAGCAAGAGCTGTTTTTTATTCCATGTTTGTGATCGTTTGTGGCATCTTTGTGGCCATTCCGCTCAACAGCCTAGATAGAGGCAGAGCAGGTGGCGACGGGACGACTCAGTTCATTGGTGACTCTCAGGCTCAGTGGAGTTGCCAAGGGTCACCTATGTCGGCTATGTCGTTGCGTTGTTGTTCCTTGAGTGCAAAGGTTGGATAGGTTGGATAGGTTGGATTTGGTAGAAGATCTTGCGACATAATCTTTGCTTCAAGCTGGTCTTACTCGCTGCCTGGAAAGGTCACCATGCCCAAGAATTTGAGTCTCTTTGGATCGTGCCCATCTAAGTTGTGCAATTTGCAAGCACTCGTTTTGCATGATTCAGATCACTCCTCGCGTCTGAATCCGGATTTCTTGTGTGAAGTCGTACTTCTTGGACTTCGAATTGCACGGTTTGCTAGTGCCAGGTACCTGCAAAACCTTAGCAGGAAACTTCAGCAAGGATGGAAAAAGAGACAAATAACAAGGACAACGGGGCTGGGGTGCACGACGTTCCAGTCCACAGGCCAAATTTATTGAGTATGCACAATCTCTGCGTTGTAGAGTCAGCCACGCCCAGATCGTTTCAAGGTGTCAAGCACTTCTGGAGTCGATTTCTGCAGAGTGCCACAACACAAAGAGGAATTGCAGAAGCAAAGTGAGCTGCAACTTATCTGAGGGCAGAAATTGAGTAAGTTGACGCACTCAATGTTGGAACCAAAAAAGTCCCTTCCTGTGGAGCTAGATGAGCTACCCAGATGAGCACGAGTTTCCCCAACTTTTCAGCTCCTGTGCCAGTGCTGGCGTAGCCATGGCGTAGCCAGAACCGATGCATGTACTCCGTAGTCTCCGGGCACGGAACTGCTCATGTTCTTTGAGATGGGGAATCGGAAGGTCCGGTCCTGAGGGATTTGGACCCACGGCATTTCTGGCAACTCGTGCAGCTGCGTAGCTCAGTGGGAGGAGTTGCCTCAGATGTGACCCACTAAGGTTGCCTTCTTTGATATCGCCACAACGTCTCACTGTGCAGAGGCACTTTGCCTCGTGCCCTGGCTTGCAAGATCCGAGATGAGGTTGCAAGAACACTGAAAACCAACTTGGAGAATCAGAAGGATCAGACCAAAGCGGGGCCGAGATCTTGTTCAAAAGCAGTACTTTTTCTTAGTGCAAGACTAGCCCAGACTCTCATGCTGATCACGCGATCCTAAGGATCTTGTTCCATGCAAAAGTGTCAATTCAACAACTGCAAAATCAGAACACAACCTAGGCGGGATGATGAGCAGCAGCAGCAGCAGCAGCAGCAGCCGCAGCAGCCGCCAGCAGCAGCAGCAGCCGCCAGCAGCAGCAGCAGCAGCAGCAGCAGCCGCCAGCAGCAGCAGCAGCAGCAGCAGCAGCAGCAGCCGCCAGCAGCAGCAGCGGCAGCAGCCGCCAGCAGCAGCGCCTACAAAGATGTCTCCCTGCAGGAGGTCCATTACCGGATGCAGAGGAAAAAGGCAGGGATGCCAGTGGTTTCAATGAAGCACATTGTCCAAGCACATTGTGCGAAGCACATGGTCCAAAGAGAAGAGCAATGTCCATGTGACAAAATCTATTTGCAATCCGACCAAATTCCATGTTCCCTTCACCTTTTTCCTCATGGCGCTCCATTTGCTTCTGCATAGCTCTTCGTTCTGCGAGTCTTGTTGTGCTGATATATATATATATAATTATATATACGTATAGTGATATATACATACATTATATAATATAAAACACATATTTGCAATATGAATTCATGTACATATATGTACATATATATATATGTATATATATATATATATATCAGAATGGTAGTCATAACGGTTCGCGATTCAGGCCCCAGGTCTGAGTCAATTTGGATTTTTTGCAGCCAGGAACATGCCCAGAAGGACAGAGACCTGGCAAGACCCTGGGAGCCCAAGAGAGGTGCCGTCCGAGATGGCGGAGATGGCAGTGGTGAACGCCTGCATGAACGATTATTAATATATTTAATATTGACGTGAACATGAATAGTTTATTGTTTGTTTGGAACTTCCATCTAGCTGTTGGCATTTGCCTTGTGTCAACTAGCAAGTTTTTACGAGGAGCAAATGATAGTCTATGCCAGGTGTGCCTTACCGCTTTCGCCTGTCAGACCAGGCCTGAAGAATTCTTTCAGAAATTTCAGTGATTATGATTTGAATGCAGCACCAGCATGCTTCTTTGCAGCGGGAAATGAAGCCTTGGCAAGCTTAATGCTGGTAAGTCAGAGGAAATTTGGAGGCCAACCTAGCCTCTGCCTTAGATAACCTTAGCCACTCTTGAAGTCTGAGGAAGATCGAAAGATTCCCTCAAAGGCCCGATGGGATTTCAATGCTTGTGTCTATCTTCACCGCAACACCGTCCAAAGTCTGTGACGATTTGATGTGAACATCAGATTGACAAAGCACGTGCAGCACGCATATCGCACATGTTGGTGTGAACCAACATCACAAGAACCTGTACCTTTACTGGTTTTTCACTTTACTTGGATGAGGCTCCCGAACAGATCGCTTTCAGTTCAAATGCGATCAGAATGCTCACCAATTTCCGTCAGGAGGATCGAGGCAAGCAAGCCAATCAAGGAGATCAACCAAAGAAGGCGGCAGGGCCTGTAGCTACCGCAACTGCATGTTGGAATTGGCAGCTTTCAATTTGTCCGCTATTAGAATTGACATGACCAAAGATAGTTTCAGAGAGTCCACAGGTGGTTAAATTAACACAGAGGTCAATGCAAGCAGAAAGATGCAAAAAGTAATGTCTTTTCCAAGCCCCCAAGTCTGAATTGTATTTCTGGCCATTCTTCTCTTACACCTCAATTGCAGATCGCATCGAATACTTAAAACTTTTCTGCACCCTCTCCAGAACAGGCACAAGTCTATTCAGATCATGCCGGCTTGCGCTTTCCCACTTTGGACACTGTGCCTTTGAGTTTGATTGGCTTTGCCTTCTGCCTTGACAGAGGTGTGAAGTTAGTGACTGTTTTGTTGATTCACCAAGAATCATCAAGATAATTAGGTAGTTGGATATGGTTGAATCTAATATATAGTTGATTCAGATTCATCGTGTTGTGATCGTGATCGCTCCTTCTTCAAAACTCGATTGCCATGGCGCTGTGAAAGTCCTGCCATGGCCGCCCAAGGCGGAGAACTACGATTACAACCGAGATCGTGGCTTCGATCGAATCGTTGAGCGTGCCTTCCCCATCAAGGCCATAAGGGGGCCATGGATGATGCAACGGTTGGTGCCAGTTGGTGCTGTGACAGGTGCCAGGATATCGGAGGTTGGACCCCTACTTCCGCGAGTACATCTGGTTTCTCAACAATTTGGTGGAAGCCCCAGGCTTTTCAGCGGCTCCTAAGTTCGTGATTTCACTTCACATGCCCTGTATGCTTGTTGTCCTCGGTCACGAGGTGAGCAAACAGATTTTGAGTGAAATTGGTCTTGTTTATCCACAGCCATCGCGATTAACAGAATTTCACAGGATCCCGCGCGATTCACAATTTCTCGGATTGCGAAGCGGCCTGATACTGAGACAAATCCCGCAAAGATGTGTCACCTACAGTCACCTTGATGGACTCATTTTGACGCTGGCAAGTTGGACATGGATTTTTCAGCGGGTCCGAAATCATCACACTCTACTGTACCACAATACATCTAAAGCTTTATCGACATCCATCATCACCCATCTCCATCGTATAATGAATGCATGCAATTGTATGTATCTCTATATATGTATATTATGTATATGTAATGTAATGTAATGTCATGTCATGCTATGTAATGTAAGGTGATGTGATGTGATGTAGTGGCATGCAAGGGTAGTAGTGTAACGTAAGTCGATGTAATGTAATGTATACAGATAGATCTCTCTATCTATATCTATACCTATATCTATATGTATGTCTATATCATATAGTCTTTATCTATATCGATCTACTCTCTCTATGCATGTACACATAGCAATATTCAGGGACTTTCTTTGCCAGAGCAGTCTGCGTGGAGTACTCAAGACTGCTGCGTGGCTACGAAATGGCCAGGTATCGTTTGAGAGAGAAGACAGTTGCAAAGGTTGTGGAGGACTCTCATGACACAAAAAACATCAAAAAACATAGAAAACCATGAGTCAATATTTGCAATCCAGCACCATGTCTCACCATATTTGCACAGCTGTAGCTGCAAGGAGTGGGCAACGAATCAATATCTTACGAGGAGCAGCAGTTTGTTCTGCCGTGGAGGTCCAGGATACAGCGCTACAACATGGTTCGCAGCGTCTTGCAGTTTCATCATAAGAATGATAAGAATGCGTATTTCTAAAGCAAACTCAATGTGTTTTACAGCATTTTACGATATTTTACTCTAGGACTCATAGTGTAACTCGTTTTTTTTATGTTTTATTTGATCCCTTAAGCGTCCTATCACTACGCAATTGCAATTCCACAGGGGTCTTGGATGAATGCTGGTGTATTGTGTTTGGGAAGTGCTTGGGAAGTGCTTGGAAGTGCTTTCCTTGTACTTCTGCCGATCTTACATGATTCAGGAGCGGTTTGACTCGATTGAGAGACAAGCAACAAACTCGTGAGGCTGGGCACTTGCTGGCTGAAAGCAATCGTCGCACATTTGCAGCATGGGCCATGGGCAAAAACCACAATTTCATGCAATTTATGCATATTTATGCAGTATAGATTATGTAGAATCAGCCAAACGCACAAAGCGTGAAGTTCAGGGAAGAGTGCGCACGTGGTGTTCGCAGAATGCACTGTTTGCAAAGGCAGTGGTTCTTGCCAAGAAGGAGCAAGCCTACGCGAAGTGGGTCGGCGCATTCCCAAGCGGAACTTGTTTCAATGCGAGACGACCTGACCCTTGTTCTCTTTCGCGTCTGATGTAGAGTGTGAAAGGCTGGGATCAACTCGGTGATGAAGATGACCCAGAAAGCGATGACGAGGTCGGGAAAGGTTGTGGGTAGCAAACAGGTTCAGCATGCTTTACCGGGCCCAAACTAAAAAAAATGTTGAGGCTTTGGGCGAGTCCAAAGGATGGCGGTCCACCAGCGATTGGGCTCCTTGGCAACATTTGGCATCTGGCAACATCTGGCAATCATTCCGAATCATTCCTGGTTCAACCTGTCTTTGCCCCACGATTGAAGGGGGGGCCGGGGGCAACTGAGAGGACGATCTCAACTGGGCACACCAAGGTGCGTCGTCAAACAGTGGAGGTAGAAATGATGCCCGAGACCCCAGCGAGATCTGGATTGATCCGCCAAGCTTGCAGATCTGCTCATTTCTTGTCGATGCCAAACTGATAGAGCTGGGTTGATCATGTCATCCTACGTCACATCGTGTCATATTATATAAGTCATATCATTTGACGTTGAGAGAAGGTGTTGCCCCGCTGCCAGATGAGTTTCTTGATCCAATTCATGCAGGTCCGCCTTCCCAATGATGGAAAAGTGCCTTAGCTCAGTATCCACAAGGGCTGAATGCTGAAGAAACTGGACTTTCCTGTGAGCTGACCCTTCAACCTGCCTGAAACAGTAGTTACGTTGTTTATTTCTGTCTAACGCAACACTGAGTTGCACGTACTCCTAAATCTCAATGGACCAAGATAGTTATATGGTTGAAACTAGTTGAAACATACATTTCATGAACTTGTCCATTGATTGCATTGATTGCATGGCTCGGTGTTCACGTGTTTCAGTCTTCCACTGACATGTGGCAGTTTGAGGCGGGATCCCATGCCGAAGCGAGTGGATGTTGACATGGTGGTGGATAGCAGGCTGCATGCTTTGGCTCTAATCATTTCTAGAATTTTCAAATCTACAAGTCATACCATCTGGTTATTTAACATAGCCATGGAAAATCCCTTATAAATGGAGGTTTTAATGGGAAAATCATCTATAAATGGGCCATTTTCCATGGCTATGTTAAATAACCAGAGGGTATTTCTTATTTGTCTTGCTGTTGATATCTTCCGACTATCTGAGAGAATCCCTTGGATTCTTGCCTCGGCGATCCAAAGGTCTGTCGAACAAACTGGAACTTTGTCCATCGCAAAACAAATGCAGGTCCTTCAATGTTACGTCAAGTCCAAAAACAACTGGAAATAGACGGATATTTGATTCAGATGGTATGACTTGATGGCCCATTTATAGATGATTTTCCCATTATATAAAACCTCCATTTATAAGGGATTTTCCATGGCTATGTTAAATAATCAGATGGATTCAGATGGATTCAGATGGATTCAGATGATCGGGCCACAGCCACCACCAACTCACATTGCAAGGCGCGGGCACAAGATCATCAATTGGATTGATCCCACAGACAAAGTCGTCTTCTGAGCTCCGCGTACCGAAGCTTTAGAACGAAAGCACTGGACCAGAGGGTGAAAAAGTATGCGGCTCACCGCAGTTCACTGAGCGGTTCACTGAGATTACAGAGTTCACTGCAAGAACCTGCAAGCTTTGCAAATGGCGATGCCGTCTGCATGAGCAATGCTCTTTATTTGGGACCAATTGCCAAGTGAGTGATTTCAAACATCTTGTGGTAGGGGGCAGAAACATTGGTGTTTATATACATACATGCATGCATGCATGCATGCATGCATACTTGCTTGAACAAGTGGAGAGCGAGAACCCTTACCCAACATCCCTTGCGGATTTTCAAGGTTCTTCTCAAACTCTGCAATTTTCAATACGACATGAGATGACTCATTCTGCTGTCACGTTGCAGGGTGGTCCCTCCAAAAGCCTATGGAGCACTTCCGCCTGAAGCTGAGTACTGCTGAGTGCAGCCTGGCCTTTAGGGACTTTGCAAGCAAGGTCAGCTTCGTCGCAGATGTCCCTTTGGGGAGATGATGACTTCAATTACAGAACAAAGACAATGCTTGGCCCTGAGGGCCCTGAGCCGCCTCAAGGCTTAGCTGGGCTTAGCTGGGCTTAGCTGGGCTTAGCTGAAAGATTTTGGCGGAACAAATCCTGGGATTCAATGCGCCACTGCAGATGGGATGGCCGATGGAAGAGACACAGAAAGAAGCCGATGACATACAAGAAGGCTGGAAGTGGCTGGAAGTGTGCGTGGTTCATGTTCCTTGGGTGGAAACCATATGGACTTTCACTCTGCAGCATTTCAAGGAGCCGAATCTCACTGGTGTGAATCTTCATTCTGCAGGACATCCACTCAGACGCTTTGAACACAACAATCTACAATCTGAAAGCATCAAGCTCAGACTGTTGATCTAAAAGATGAGCATCCATCATGCGGCATCATTCGGATGACTGATGGCTTGATGGCTGAAATCACCCTTACCAATATTGCGGGCTTGGAAAGAGTTGAGCTTGCAGTCTTGAGTCGGAGTAAAGGTAGGAGAGAGATTGCAGAGGTGAAACAATCTTAAGACAATTAATCAAAGTCAGGTCTTTAAACAGTCAACATGTAGAATAAGCTTTTTTAATCTTTTTTAACAGATTTCTTTCTGTTTTTGGATAACTTTCGTACGAAATTCTTTCTGTTTCTAACCGCCTCAGGTCACGCCCTCGGCTCTGTACAACATGGATGATGCCGGTGGCTTCGACAACTACATCTTGAGGACGCCTCCACAGGCCTGGAGAAGCCTCTTGTCGTTCCAATCACTGGCTGTGCCCCTTCAGCACAGGGATACAAGGCTATTGATTTTGATGATAAAAGCGGATCTCCTAGTGCAATGCCTGATGGAAGATTTATTGTAACTCAGCCGTCTCAACCAATCTCAGTGAAAACTGACGAAGTTCGTCGAAATCAGACTCAATGGCTGAGTTCTTCGATTGTGTCGCACTGGAAGTCTCACTCCAGGAATTGCGCAGTGCTACGGGGGAGAAGATGCGAGAAGTCATGTATTTTTACATGAAGAATCCTGAGGCAAAGAGTCAAGAGAATGGGAAGGTTCCACAACTGCAACAACGTATATATTGGAATGAAGTAAGTAACGGAGAGGAGGCTCATGGAGAAGAACACATGTAAACAAACAGCCTGGAAGTCAACAAAATAAATGGATGTGCTTTGTTTCCTTCGGAATATAATGAACCCCGTTTCTTGTCGGCCCACAGCGCCTTCTGGCTAACCCACAGCCGGGTATAGATTCAGTGCTTGATGCATCAAGCAATGGCAAGTTTCAACTTGCAGACACACTATGCAGACGTGTACTGTAAGTCTGTGTATTTTCTATGACGGCAACGGCGCTCTGCCATCGGGCCAAAGCACCATGTGTTCGACACGTTGATACTCTTGGTGCGGGATGCTCAGAGATCGGCAGCACAAAGTGATCCCTGGTCCGGATCGGAGAATACCGACTTCAGCTTGTGATGACCACAATTGAAGCCATGTTTTTGCCGAGATACTTAGGCCCAAGCCGTGGAAGTAATACTGTGTAATGCATGAACCTAAATTTAAATCTATCAGATGTAGAAGCCAATGTTGCAAAATTCTCGGGTGTAGTTTGTGTGAACATGAGAGATCACATGCTGCGAGCACTCATTGACTGCTGAAGACATGCAGGCATCGTGAGACCTCAAATCTACTCGTGTTTAGTCGGTGCAAACCCAACAAGGGAACATACAATGTTAATATGAAGAGGCCACAGAGCAAACCAGTTTTAGTTTGTACAAGGATAGACTTTGTGACTTGATTTCAATCTTCATGGCAATGCAGCACGATGATGGATTTCGAAGCTCCCCCGGTCCTTGGGCGCAATTTAGGATTTTGCCTTGGGCTACGCTTTGATACAAATTTGGAGCATAAATCTCTTCAGCAAGTATGCATGGCATTCGGCCCATTCAGTCAAGATCAGCTTGTGCATGGTGGACATCAAGAAAAAGATAGACAAGACTGACAAGACAAACTGAATCATCACTGATCATATGAACTTCTTTTTAATGCTTTGATGTGCGCTCATTTTGAAACTCAAGAGGCTCAAGTCAATCAATGTCTCAAGAGAAGCTGTTGAATGCCTCAGGGGCAAAGCTGTTGTGTCGTACTAAGGTGCCCCCCGAATTGCCAGGGATGGCGATGGCGGGTAGCTGCTATGATTCTGAGGACAAATCTGGGAATTCCCGAGCTTACAGATGACAAACATCCATGGTTATATCGCTAGATATCGCTAGAGTCTTGAGACTTTTTAGTCTATGCAATCAAGTTTTGCTCGGCATGGATCCTTTTGGAATGTTCGCTAATTGAAGGATGCACACCTTTTCCAGCCTTTGTCTCCTCCTGAGCATGCTGCCTTTGCGCAGCCAAGCACAAAGGACTTACAGGCTCAATCATGTCAGCAGGGTTGAGTGCTCCAAAGAAAGGTTTGATGCTTCCATCTGAAAAGATGCTTTTGGCTTTACACGTTTGGTCAATTCCTACAACTGGTGCAACAATGTGCAACATTTTGACTGAAGCTTCCAAAGAGGGCCAACTCTACGAGAAACCTATCTTTGTAGCCAAAATCGCAGAAGTCGCCCTCAAGTTCTTCTTTTGGGTTTTCCCAAAACAGGGAATAGCCTATTCATCCCTATTCCATCCGACGGTTTTGAAATTCCTATTATCATTTTACCACTTTAAACGGCCGGCCCGCATCGGTCAAAATGTAGGGTATAAAAGTATAAATAGGATTATGTAAATAGGTATAGATCAGGCAACGGAGGCCCAAATCTGTTCCATAGGATCACCATACACCCATATCTTGCGGGAAAATCATTCAAATCATGAAATCTAACATAAATCTTAATCAATCACCTTAGATCCCTCATTTAATGAGATATTTTGAGAGTTGTCTCAACTGTGGCTCCAGTCGCGCAGGTGGTGAGCCTTTCCTCCATCTCCCGTGATACGAATCTCGAGTCGCCGCGGGCCCCACATTCGATTCCCAGGTCCAGGTCCAGATCGAGGACGGTGCCGCAGCACCTCGGCTCACTGAATTTTCAAGAATCCCAAGTATTTTTTTCTATATTCACAATGTTTTGATATATATTTTTTGTATTTTTTTGTTTCATGGCTTAAAGTCGATGTATTTTTCAAATGGTCTCTTGACAGGCTAAACACCGTGCCCTGGTCGGGGCTGGTGTTTTTTCACCATAAGTCAGTGGCCAGTGGCCAGTGACTTTGGGCGAGGTCCTCCATGCCCATTGCGCAGTTCTTCCTACAGAATGCACAGGCCATAGGGCCATGGGGCCGTGGGAGCTTCTGAGGAGGCTTTGGTGTTACCCTCTGGTTATTTAACAGTTTGTCATGGGAAATGACCCATAGAAATAGATGGTTTACCTGTTAAAAATGGTGATTTTCCATAGTTATGTTAGTTTACCAGAGGGTATCTCTTGCCAATTTTTACCAATTTTTCAAACACAAATTGACCTTTCAAACCTGCAAGAAGCATAAACAATGCATTTGTGCATTTGTTTCATCATAGTTCTGACAAAATCATGTGGTTCCCGACTTCTGCAAAGTGAGCACATGTGAGCACTCTATGTTGTTCCTCTTGCAGCGATGCGTGCATGTGGTGATATGCGGTGCAAATACTTCATCACAGCCGTCCCATGCAGACATTTTTTGGCCATTTCCGGTACTTCATCAGAGGAAAGACACAAATGAAGAGAGAGAGAGAGAGATTCTTTAGTAAGTGCTTCTCAGTAGTCCAGCTTTTGTTTGCGTGTTCCTGCACAGTGTACTTTCAAGTCTTTCAACATCAGCTTGCATAGTCTGGCATAGTGTGGTTTTCTTTTCATGATCTGCGATTCTTGTTTGTCTGCCTCCCTGGCCCCTTGTCATTTTGTGACTCATTTTATTTAGCCCGACACGCTTTTTTTGATTGAAAAAGTCCACCTCTATTTGCCCTCACTTGCCATTCCAAGTCATGTCAAGTTCCAATCTGCTTGGTGTGGTACTTGGGAACAAGGCGCAAAGCAAATTGAAGTATGTAATATGTAGTAGCAGCAAAAGGATTGAAAGATCTTCAATTTGTAAGTGAACGTAGTTTCACATCAAGAATTCCCAAGATGAATGCTAATCGGACCTTCGAAGCTGATAGGGGTGATCCGGTGATCCTATTTTGTTGCGAATACCTTCAGAATAATCTTGGTTCAACATCCCTGGGGCCTTAATTTGCCTTAAAGTCCTACGGATTTCGTCTGATTTCGGCCACATTTTGTGTTTTTTTTCGCTGCAGGAGCTACGCCTGGATTCGGCCATGGCGGAACAATGTACTGCCCGCCTGGCAGAGGAGCTGCTCTTCAGCACCGAGGCCAGCGGTAGCGAGGAACATGTGCACAGCTCTAACGGTTCCAAGGTCAGCTGCGAAGCTCAACTCGAATTCATTTTTCACCATTTTTCACCATTTTTCACTAGTTCAAGAAAGTATCCCTCGAGATGAACTGACACATCAATTGATGAATTTATATGGCAAAAACAAAAAAGAGAGAGGGGCTCAGAGGCCGAACTCTTCTGTGCTTTTCCGGGGTGCAAAAGGCTCAAGCAAAGGACATATCAAAAAGAGAAGTATTTTCGGCAGGCATTTTCAACCCTTTGAGGACCACAAGAAAGCTAGAAATCGGATTCAAAATTTGATAGTTCAGACAGAAAGATGAATGGAGACCAGTTTGAGGACTACGGAAGAATTGGCATGGTACTGTCTCATCCTATGGTCACTTGGATATGAAAGATTTACAAGATTTGCAAGCTTGACATAGCTTGACAATCTGCAAGCCTGACAGCCTCATTGGGTCGTGGATTGACGCCAGGACTTATACCTCCTCTCTGAGAAGGTGCGAAAGATGTCATGCTGAGACATGGTGATGGTCATGCGCGTGCTTTGTTGATCTTTGTTGCCTTTTGCAGTAGCTATGACCTGTTGCAAGGAAAACTTCATGCGATTGCCTTTGCCTATGCAGCTTGCTTGCAATTTGGTTGTGCGCTGCAGCTCACTAGCTGATTTGAACGGATTTGCAGCATAATCAACAGACCCCAGATTCAAAAAACAGCATGGAACTATGACGACTGGCAAACAGCTCGTGAACGAGGGACAAGACCACACCACACACACACACACAAGTGGAGATATGATGTGGGTCGGGGGTCGGAGGAAGATGGAATCTCTCATCTAGACCCATCTTGGCACGTGTACTGTAATTTGCTCGATTTTTTGCCAAGAACCAGAGTTGTACGAGTTGTACTGCACGACTAGTGTTTTTTTTAAAGTTGGAGGATGAGTTGCGAACCCCTGCTGTAGCTCAAGTCCTACAGTCCTACACGGGAAGGTATGTCCGCCGTTGGCTCGCTGACGAACGTCAAGGGCGCTTGTTCAACCCTGAAGCCGTGGTTGAGGAGGTGGAAGAGTCACAAGGAGGGGATTCAACTGACGTTCATAGGCGTGTCTTGACCGGTGTAAGGTGCAAAGGTGCTAAAGTTATGACGTTGTAGCTATACGTATATATATATAATTATATATATATAATTATATATATAATTATATATATACATAATTATATAACAGCTATTTAATGCTATTTATAGAAGCAGGATTTGTGCAAATGATCATTTTCTCGGTAGGTTCAATTTTGGGCAAAGTCGGCATGCAAAACTTCATGGATTTAGCATCTAGGAGTCAAATCTCAAAACATCCCAACAGGGTTGGCATTTGTAGCGTGCATGGATGTCAGGAGATGGCAGTTACGAGTCCAATCCTGCACGACGTGGAAGGTATGGAGAAGATACGGATCAATTTTGGATGTTTTCTTCCGGATTCTTATCTTTCCTTCGGTACATTTCTGTACAGTTTCCAAGTTCTGTCACGGAGTATCGGGCTGGCCAAGTCGTTGATCCAAGCAACCATTAAGATATAGATGTAGTGTGACGTAGTTCATTTATTTTGGTTTCAGATGGATTCTGGCACATTCTGGGGCGCCAGGTCATTGTCCTTCAACTCGGATGGTGAAGCTGCACATGTTGTGGAGGTGACCGTGCAGGTGAACAGTGTCACTGCCATCAACATCAAACGCATCCTTTTCGATGTGGACTTCACCCTCATGTCTCTAGGATGGACTTTTCAGGCTTGCATCATGGGCTTATATGCTTTGTTACGAGTCAGAATGTGAGCCGATCGTTCATGGCATCCTAAACAGCCGAAGGAGACCCAGGAAAAAACATGAAAATATCACACCAATTCACAACATGCTTTTGGAATCTTTTGGAGATGAACGTGTCTTCTATCACATTGTCATGATTGACTGGTTCTGCTCAGCTAAGGTTGGACTGGCAAGATCCTAGCGCCATGGGTTTGTCTGTCAAGGAGATCGAGGCAATGACTTCTTTCAATCCGGAAGTTGTGATCGTGGGGTGCTCAGACGAGAACCTTGAGCAAATGCTGAGCAAATGCTGGTTGATTGGATCTGAAGACGTCTGAAGACTATCGGACCATATCGGACCATATCTGACCATCCAGGACAATGCAGTGGACAATGATCAGCCTCTCGCTGGTGGCTGCAGTGCTCCCAGGCAACGTCTTTGGTCACAGTGTCAGCTACTGGTAATATCTGGTAACAGTAAAATGGTCGGCACATACTTCTGCATTACTTTTTGTGGCTGTTGAAGATTGGACCAAGCAACTTTGCACAACATGCTATAAAGGAATGTAAAAGATGGCTATGAGCCGTGTTTTGATTGGGGTTGCTGGTTCAGGCCCAACCGATTGGTGGATGGTGTGTGTCTCCTGGCAGCAAGCCTTCCAGGCATTTTCACAACGCAATGGATCTGATGGGTGCGACTCTGCCAAGGCCCCGATGGTCATCTGAAGAAGACCAACCGCTACCGACTCTCGCTGACCTGCAACGGCCTGGATCTGCGGGCCTTTCCCTTCGATACTCAGATTTTGCCGATCCGCTTAAAGGCGGGTGCAGTACCTGATGAAGATCTGGCGACATCAGATTGACATCATATTGACATCAATCGTTAAAAATCGATTGACCAGCTCGACATTTTCCATCGAAAGACGTCGATGACTTTCGACATCTTTCGACATTTTCGCCGCTTCCAGTGCCTCTGCAGTGGCTCCAGTGGCTCCAGGCTCGCAAAGGCACCCTGAAGTCCACAGAGAAAGATGCCTCAGATGTGATCTTGGTAGGTCCAGAAGGTGGGAGGATTCGGGATGCGGAGAGATCGGAGAGATTTTCTTGGACCGTTTTTCACCTTGTCCACATGGTCGTTAGGAGGTCTGAATGTGTGTATATATATATAAGTATATCAAATGTATATCAAACATATTCAAACAATATCAAACAACTATTTGATAAGCAGAACATTTCCTTGCCTCAGCAACCCTTGTGACAGGCCTCAACGGTCTCACTCTCAGACTTGTCGTTTCTCACAGTGGGTGCAGGTTCACCTCAAAGTGCTTGTCCTGACAGTCCTAAGATTTGTCGTGTCTCAGGTCATGATAAGAAGCATGGCTTGAGAAGGATGGGCCACACAGTCAAGATGCAAGCAGAACGATTGGCAGACTTCAAGATCCAGCGACTTGTCGTGCTGGAGAAAATGTCATCATGCTGCATCATGCTTGGGGTGCCCTGAATCTGAAAATATCGGAAATGCAAGTGCGTTCAATGCAATTCAGAAAATTGGCAACATGAGATGAAAGCTGATAAAATGAGCTTTAGCTGCATGAGCCCGAAACATTCAACCTCTGCTGGGTGCGCTTTCTAAGCATTGCTTCCCAATAAAAAGACGCACGCATTGACCACTAATGGATAGCAAACCAGACTAGACAAAGATAGACAAAGTGACGAAGCATGCTCAGTGTGTTGTTTGAGTTATTTCAAAGTTAATTCACGTCGCTTCGCGACGGCAACCGCCCGCACCGCATCGTAACTGCCAATGATGTCGGCCATTGAGACCAAAAACATCCGAAAGTACTGATTGTCGGAAAAAAAAACGCGAAGAATTTGATAGCCATGTATAGCGGACCAACGCAGTTCAAAAAATAACGAATAACATGAAAAAACGGCGAAATTGCTGTTATTTACAGTGTTTTTGCGCGGTGAGAAGCAGAAACCACTGCAAATACCATGGTTTTTGAGGGTCAGGTGGCCAAAAACACTGTAATTTACAGTGTTTTTTTAACCAACGTCAAAAAACACTGGTATTTACGATGTTTTCATTCACACCGTAACATAAAACAGCGTAATTTACGAGGTTTTTGGAAGTTTTGAAGCTAGCCGTCAAGCATGCAGAAAACAGAAAAACACTGTAAAAACCAGTGTTTCTGCTATCACAAAACGACGAAAATCAGTCCGAAAACGGGTCCAAAAACTCAAAAATCCGCCTCCGGGCCAGGCCACCTGCGGAACCGCAAAAAAAGATGTTGCAAACCAAAAAAATGAGGTCAAAAAGTTGAAAAACACGGGGTTTTTTCACTTTTCGCTTGCCGATTTTGGACGGGCGCGTTCACGAACAGGTGTCTTCCGTACTGTTTTTTACAGTGTTTTTTGAAGGCGAGCGTCACGACCTATCAAAAACAGGAGGTTTTGGCCGAAAAATGCCCCGCCCCCCCCAGGTAAACCTGTAACCTTTTACGAGTGCCATCCGGACGATCACGCCCCAGCACCTTCGGTGCGGGCGGATTCAATTGTTTCGTTTTTCTTTCGTTTGTTACTTCGAGCTCTTTGAGGTCTTTGATGGGTCTTCGGTCAGAACTGCCAGACCGATGGTATGAGGTTCGCATCATTGTGGAGAGATCGCCAGGTCAGCGCGGTGGGTACACTGTGTGACCTTGATTCGTTTTTGCCGGGGAGATCACATCGAACAATTTAAGGAACAAGTCTGTCACCACAACAATCGGAGCATCGACTAAGATGTCTTAGATCTGAGACTTCTGAAAAAGACTTCTTAGACCTCGGGAGAACCCGCAAAGGAATAATATTCGATCATATACTATCGTAGTCCGCAGTAGAGCGGCCCGCCTGTTTCGATGGATTCAATCAAAGGCATCCACCGGCATTCGCAAACTTATCAAATCTGGCTTTTTAGCTAGAAACCTGCTTGGATGGCCCGTTGACCCCCAACCTTTCTTGTCCGTACAGCGACTTGTTTGCGTGTTCAAACAATACTGTAGCTGCTGCATAGAAGCGCGCATAGTGGTTGCTCTGATTGCAGGACATGCTGTCCGTAACGTGGCAGTGCCCTGCTTGGTGATTTTGACCTTCTCCTTCACCATCTATGCAATTCCCATGTCTGAGCTGGGATCCAGGACCGGTAGCTTGAGGATGTGCAGTTGATCGCAGAACAATGGTATGGAATAGAATGATATCATGATATCATATGATAATCATGATATCATATGATAATCATGATATCATACATTTGACAAATCGATACAAATCTAACAAGGGAGCTTTCCACAATCTTTTTTGCCGCTCATTTTTCATGGGATACGCGAGGCTGGAGAACACGGCCACCTGTTTGCTGGCGATGATGGCATTTCAGGTTGGGTATTGCGGCATCAATATCAATATCAATGTATATATATATATCTATATATGTATATCTATATATATATATATCTATATATATATATCTATATATATATATATATCTATATATATATCTATATATATATCTATATATATACATATACATATACATATACATATCAATATGAGGTATTGCAATGTCTTGACATTTCTGAAATGTCTTGAAATTTTGTGGACTTCAGTGGACTGAAGAGTTGTGTCATTTAGACTTTCCCAGGGAGTGGTGAATGAGATGCTGCCTCCTGTGTCATATGAGACTGCCTTGGGAAGGCGCGCTCGATTGTTTGATTGCTTGTTCCACCGGAGTTCAGGACATGAACTTGTTCATGGATTCCAACGACTTGTATGATTTGTTTCCGGGAGATTGGACTTCCAACCTTAGCATCTACTGTATCACAGGATTAAAACATATTAAAACCCCAAACCCCAGCAACTGCTGAGGTATGTGACTGCAGTGTACATCATTCTGATGCAAGGGCCTGAGTTGTTCATAGTTTTCCTATTGATATCTGTTGATATTTGTTGATTTTTTTGCTTCTTGTCTTATCTTGTCCTGTCGACGACCTCTGAGGTTCCACGGTGTTGAGCACGCACTCTTCTCCACCTTGACCTCCAAGTCAGATTCAATTGCGCCTCGAGATAGGCATTCAATGTGCATTCAATGCGCATTCCGACTTTTCAGTTGTTTCGTTTGGGTTTCATTTGGGTTTCTTGGATTTGCATCTTCATTTTCAATTGTTTCGGCTGTCAGTGCAAGCTGCTCTTGCAATGACTGCTGTATGGCAATCTGCAAAGAAAGAAGAATGCAGGAGGGTGTACATAACGACATGCTTGTCCTAGGTTTCGGTTTAGGGATTGTCAAGTTAAATGAGCGTTCTGATCAGTTCAGGCCAATTGACATCTTCTTTGGCACAGTGGAATATTGGGATGCCAATAGTTCCTATATGCACGGGGTTGAGGCAATTTTGGTGACTTGACTCGCAACAAAAAAATCCTACAAACCTGCCAAAGACGCAGAAACTTGGAGACATAGGTTTCAAAAGAATGAATTTCACTTGGATTAGTTGGATTCCAGATTGCAAGGGCCTTTGATTTTGAGTGCTCATTTGTTGCCATGCCCAGCCGTGAAAAGAAACGCAACCCATGGACTGATGCTCAGGTTTGTGCAGAACTGGTGCTGATCCTGTTCATCCATGTTGCGTATGTTGCTCGTCATCAAGAGCAGATTGTTGTTGAAACGACGCCCTTTGCCATGCCAGGTTCAAAATATTAGTATATTCTCCAGTAAACTCATTTCCTTTGAGCATGGCTGTGGAAAATCCCCATTTGTAGTTACTGCAATTACGAGAACTGCAGGACCATGCCTGGAGGTTCATAAAACGACAGTAGCAACCGCTACAGTCGCTACAGTCGCTACAGCTTCAGCCCGAGCCCCAAGGTGCTCTACCTTTTCTGGCTCCGCCGGAAGGGGAAGGTACGCCCAGGGCTGTGCCAGATCTGATTGGAACAGAGGACACAGTTTCGGCCTCTCCCCACAGGTTAGGATTCCTATAGGAATCCTAAACTCCAAAGACTTTTAGTATTTTTAGTGTTGCTTGTAGCTAGCCAGTGCTTATTTAGAATCCCAATCCTGACTCAAAGCTGCATTGTTCAGGCAAAGCGTCTTCGGGAAGCTCAACGTGCTGGTGTCTCACTGGTGGATGCACGCACTGGCTTCGGAACTCGCGCAACACAGACTCGCATCCCAACTGGCACCACCTCAGCTGCGACACTTGACGACTATGACATGAAATCCATGCCTTATGTGAGAAGATTGAACATGTAAACACAAGGAAACATCATTGCGTTTCTTGCTGTGAACCATTTTACTTATGGGCATGATGTTTATTAAATGAACACTATTATACAGTATATGAAATGGAAAAAAATACAAAAAAAAACGGGAAAAACATCCCCAAAAAAAATTGCAGCCCATATGAAATTATATGATGATCAATTACCCCTGTGAATTCCTTGTGGCTTTCTGAGAAGTTAGGAGATTTGCACCTTCCCCGAAAAATCAACCAAGGACTCGGTCCCGCTCGATTGGCTCAGGCCTGGGTGAGCTTGGAACTAAATAGCTGTGAAGGCACCAATCGTAACTAAATACCAATTGGATATCCTATTGAACATGACACTCTTGTTGTCTTTGTTGTCTTTGTTGTCTTTGTTGTCTTTTGTTGAAGCCTGATTGAAGCACGTTTGTCTGCAGAGTTCTCGAATTCAACTATGCCAATTCAGGCCATACAACTCCCAGTGCTGGTGCCACTTTGCTTCAATCATCACGGCAATCCAAGAAGTGACTGGCTTAGAAATGGCACGTCGGCGGAGTCCTGGCCCAAGGCCAAAGGTCGAAATCAGGTCGCAGGAGCAAAGTATCCAGTGACCGTGGCTACGCCGTAGCTACGCTGCCCGTAGCTGATCGTAGATCAAAGTCTAACCTCCACATTCCACAGTGCTCTACGCAGACTTGCACCGAACACTGTTGAGAAGGTTTCCAAAGGCTAATGTAACCAACCACCGAAGGTGGGATGGAAGATGACGGATGGCGCTGGCCAAAAGAAAAATGAAGCTGCTGGCGTGATGAGTACCGCACCGTTCCACCGTTCAATGCCTCGAAAGCAGCCAAGTCACGAGAGTTTGTTCGGCAAAGTGGCTTGCTTGGTGTTTTTAATGCTTGTCCCTTCGGGACATAGCTGACATAGCATGATTTTTTCTCCCATGAACAGGGGGGGACTGTAACGGGATGCAAAGAACGGACATTGAAACATCAATGACAATAGCAAACTGCGAATGCACAAGTCTGATCCGACTCGGATCTGAGGTTGGCGCAAATATGGCCAGGCCCGATCGCAGTTGATATCCGTGGATTATTTTTATCTGAGATTGCTTTGGCACTTCTCCATTCACCAAAGAGGCACTTCTTGGCACTCCTTAGTTACATTTAGTTACTAGTTTTTGCTTCTCTTTGACATGACTAGGCACTGCTTTCAGGAAATGCAAAACTACCAATTCAAAGCAAGTAGACTCATGTAGATTCAACACACGCTCTTCAATGGTAGGAAGCCTGTGCAGAACCTTGCTGCACTGAGCATGATCTTAAGCCACAGCACTGTTCAGACCGTTGCTGTTCACGTCCTGCCAAACCTTGATCAAATCAAATCTTAAACTTTGTGAAATGGCCACTAAAGACTGCAAAAACTGTTCAGAGATAACACAGATAACTTGATAACCGGGCCTCATCCTGCCCTGAAGTTTGGGCCGCTTTTTAGCCACAGCGGAACAGGATTATGAGGCTGCTGCAATTGAGAGCGGCCAATGCTGTACTGACTTACTGCCCACGACGACAAAAAAGTGCAGTCCTGGCAGTTGATCATGCTCGATTTCAAACAAAGCTCTGTTCGCAAACAGTGTACCTTTTCCTCTTGGGGTGCCTTTTTTTCCTTGATTAGTTTTGACTGCAAATGTTTGGCATTCGCAGTCGTACCTTGTTCATCCTTGTTCTGCGAGTTCTCTGGGCCTTAGGTTGTGGAAGGACTTTGGAAGTTGTGGATTTCTTTTCGTTCGGAATGAATGTTTTGCTCGCTTTATCAGCTGAGACACCCACACAGCGTGAGGTGAAAGCTTGGGGCCTTCCTTGGAAAGTCTTTTTGCGCAAGCGTAACCGGAAGGAGTGGGAGAATGAGCAACACAAGCGCTTTTACTGCATTCATTTTCGTATCACAGGGAGCAGGTGTTTCCTCAGGAGTTTGGGACACCAGAGTAGTGCACCAGGCTTGAAGGCTCCGTGGTAGTTCGAAGCAAGAGTTTCAACTTGAAGTATTTTTGCGGCATCCACGACATGATCATAGGACCGTACAAGTAGCAGCATTTCATGGAATTCACGGTCATTGTTTGGATTCTCATTCTGGTAGGATCCAGCGTTTGCTCGCTATGCCAGCTCCTTATTAAGCAGATTGCCTTGATATGTTTGAAGATAGATTAGTCACTATTAGTCAAAATATGATGTCGCCATAAGGTCGGTTTACTGTAAGCACTGCAAGGACTTATTTCGCATGATCATGATTGAAAGTCTTTCCATAGGTTCAGATGGTTCAGACTCTTTAGGGAGAGATCTTGCAGCTTGCAGGTACACGAAGCCAATAAGGAGGCTTCAGGCAAAGCCCTGGCAAAGCAACACGCCAAGCTGCTTGACAAAATTGACGGCCAAAGTTGAAGTATATCATTAACCGCCCAGCGCCATTCGATGTCCTCGGCGAAATGACATCCTAAGACCCTACGACATAATTATGCTGATGCTGGAAAAGAGATGAACCATGTGCCACAATGCAAATGGAACAAATCAACATTCTTGACAGGATCTTCCGCTTAGAACTGTCTTTGCGAGCGCATGCCATTGTTTCCTGATGATGATGATGATGATGATGATGAGCGGCCCTCTTGAGGTTTTCACCGTACTATTTACCAGCGCAGGCAAGCAGTTCCTCTTGCAAACAGTTTGGCAAAGAGAGTTTCTGTTGACTGAGTTAACCGAGATGATGTCGCATTGGTAGAATAAAAACATCTAGAAGCCTTGTCTATGCAACTTGAAATTTGCTGTCTGAGTCTGTCCGTTGCTCAGGGCTTCATGCACCCTGCGAGGCAGGAGTTTATGGAGGGATCAGCACAGCACTAAGTGGCACGATGCACTTCCCAACTGTCCCAATAGATGGTCTGGTCAGTCGTCCCATGCATCTCCAGACGGCCCTTGCGCCCAAAGAAACTTTGCCAATTAGTCTAAATTAGTCTAAATCAGCTTAAATGAATCATGAGAAGAAAACACAATGCTTGATCCTCCAGTGCCTAAATTATCATTATGGAGCAGCCTGTGAGTTTCCCTGGAAGATGCTGAGATACTGTCAAATGTTGTTCTGCTAAAGCTCCAAAGTCTAGCAGATTTTAGTGCAGCCATAGCCATTTCTTGGGAATGACATTGCTCTTATGCAAGGAAGTTTTTCACGTGGGAGTTGTCAATCGCAAGCTTCGAAGTCTTAGGTCCAGCCTGAACTGAATTTGTGGTGGCGAGACAGCCCAGCCCTGACTGCTGCATTCCGGCGCCGTTTGGGTGAGGCGAGGGGCATGGTGCAATTCCATGCAATTCCCCCAAATTTGAGTCTCGTCGGTCTTAACTTTGCCACGATCCTGGCAGGACCGGGGGAAAACAAACCGATACGTTTGATTCATTCCTCATAGGACGTGATGAATTTAGTCTTTTGAGAGTCTACTAGCGTGGATGAGTCGCAAACAACACATTGTGGACATGCGCAATTAGTTGGGCTTGGGTAAGCTACGAAGATGGTGCAAAACGTCGTGGATTCAAAAGTGGATGAAGCATAAAGCGAGATAAAACATGGAATAAAGGTCTTATCGCACAGGGCAGGTACAAGTATTCTGATAGTTTCTTGCAGATGGATCATGGTGCGAATTGGAACTCCTAAGTAAACAAAAATATAGTATAGACATGAATCTACGCCGCAGATGATGGATTTCTTGCCTGCAAGCCACTGAAGATCACTGAAGCAACAATCTTCGGAGGCAAAGTCGTTTGAGCAAGCCCACCCGGATCATCGCGAACCTTCTAGATACCTGGCGGCACAGAGCAATACCCAGCGTCCCCCAATGGTGTCCTGGCGAAGAGTCTTGAGACTTTGCAAAAGAGCCAAGTGAGCCACACGATGGCCCACAAAAAGTCCATTTGGTAGATAAGTAGTGACTAAGTAGTGACTAAGTAGTGACTAAGTAGTGACTAGGTAGTGACTAGGTAGTGACTAAGTAGTGCTGATTTGTGTTGCAGTATATGTTGTTGCGAATCTGTGAGGTTTTCGATATGGAGAAACCTTTGGCGGTGGTGGCAGAAACAATCGGATGGTCTGCTCCTGAGCACAGTTGAACGCCGAGGTGAAGTGATGAGGAATGGATAGAAATGGTACATAGCATTACATAGCTCTCCCACAAGTAATCTGCCTGGAATGGTATGGTATGGTCGGCGTCGCCCTGTAGCGACCATGGCCGTGTCTTCAGCATTTGTTCAGCCTTTCAGCTGGCTCTGCAGATCCACAAGCGGGAAAAGACGCATCGATACCGACACTTGCGGCCATACTGAGAATGCCGTCGGATCTGTTGCGCTGTGACATCTGACGCAACATAATTCAGCATCATGACACAACAGAATTCAACATCATGACACAACATAGACATACATAGACACTACCTATCACAACCTTATGTCCACATAGGCTGGAGAGTGACTTCTTGAGTCTGAGCCATAAATGCAGCGAACCTGTGCCAATAGATTTCATAAGTTCGTTTCAGCCAGCCTTAGCAGTCAGACAATAGCTGCTTAGAATCTCTGATGAGAATCTGAAAGAAAAGTTGCGATGGAAGCTTACTGAGACTTGCGGACTCTTGCAATGAGATCTCCAGTCTGATGTCACCTTTCTACACCTTTGGACTCATACACTCACAATCCGGACAATGCAAAGTGGAGAGACCTCTCAATACTATATAGTCGATCTGGCTTGCATCAGCCTTGGTTGAACTACTCAGAGTCCCCCCTATGGGCTTCAGCATTAAGCCTGCTAGGACCATGTTTGATTTTGGGACTGCATTGGAACCATGCTGCGACTGTGGAAACGTCAAGTTGAGTGCTCAAGTTCTACCAAAGTCCCTCACCATGGCGCTCCCGACCATTACGCCGGAGCTTGCAGGGCAGATGGTTGACAAGGCGGGGAACTCAACACTTCACCAGGGAGTGTGTGCATTACATCACAAGCAAAGGTCGTGCAATCAATCATTCTTTCTTTCCCTTTCCGGGCCGCAAACCCAAGAGCTTCCACTTCAGCTTGTTCCTCCTAATTCATATAATTATCATATTTGGCTGAATTTCTCAGAGCAGCCCTTGACACAGTTCCACTGTGTGTCGACATTCCCCTCAGCAGTCTCCGCCCTAAAATCCGTGGAAGCAAACCTGAATACTTTTTAGAATAGCATTGAAGTTGTAGGGTCGGTCATCCCACAATTCTGCCGCCATTCTGTAGCATTTCCGAGTTAAAAACAAGTTGAACATGCTTCCTTCGCTGCCGATGCGGAATAATTTCAAACTCAGCAAAAGCACCTCTCAAGTCTCTCCGCAAAAAAAAAGGCCTTGCGCCGGATTTACATTTAACGGCTGGAGGCCACTTGGTGGTGTGAGCATTAAATACAATGCGTTCTCTACAATATGTCGGCGGTGTGCATACACTGCATGCTGCACGTAGATACTTGT